GAACGCCCCCCCTGCCCGGCCCCGCCCCCCCCCCGGCGGAGGCGTGGTCCCAGCACGGAGGAGGCAAGCCGGCGAGGTGGCTGGCGTGAGTTAATGGTGCCACGCTCAATCTGATAGTGGCTTGCGCGCCTGGATTCCCTCCCGCCCTCATTGTCAGCCCTTTTTTTATTATTAGACACAAATAGGAAAAGGGTTGTTTTTTTTTTTAAAGGTAACAAACTCACAGGCTAAGCCGTGAGCCGGCTGGAGCCGAGGCCCATAGGAAATGGGTCATTTTTCCGACATTCCATGCGTCACAGAAAACCCAGCAGTTGAAAGGAAACGGACGCAATGGAGTCAAGCAAAGGGGTTGAGGGATGGGAGAGACTCAGCTTCAAGGCTCCCTTTCGACCGCCGAGCCCGCTGGGGGATTGGGGCCAGGCTGCTGATCGACCTTCCCTACCCCATAGGGTTGTTGTGGTGTACAACACACTCATCTTAAGCTCTTGTTTCACCGGTGAAGGACCCCAGACGCATGGCTGGCTGGGTGCATTTTGACCCAAGTTCCCTACAACCCTTTACTCTCTCAAAAAGGGCCCTGAATGTATAATTCTAAGTGCCTTAAACCCAAGCCTTTTAAAATCAGAAATAGAACCGGCAGCTTTCTGTTCTCCTTGGCCCGCTTCACTCTTTTTCTTGCCCATTGCAAAGGGTTGACTACGTCCCTTCCAACTCCCACAGTTCCGTACGCCAAAGTGACACTCAACACTATGAGGAGGGCAGCTATTCCCCAGGTGAAGACAAGATTCTCGCCCTTTGCAGCGGGCATTGCCCGTGGAAATGCAACCTGCAAGCCCCATACGCCACGCTGTTTTCTAGAATTCCTCCCGTCTTCCAGATATCGTCGGGAACTCACGTGGATGATGCTGAGGTGGCAATCACCCTCCTGATGGATATTCAGAAAGATGCTGATGTTGGAGTTCACCACAAACACCGCTTGGCACTTCTCTTTTGCCGCCCCTCCAGACACGTTGAACAGGAGACTGGACATCTAGGAGAGGAAAAAGACAGACACCCATTGCCGCCGTTGCATTTCTTGGCGCGGTAGAAGCAACCGATCCCGGGGAGAATGTTTGCAGACACCCGACCTCTTCAAAAAGAGAGTAAAGGGTCAGGAAGATCCCAAGGATTTGAGAGCGAAAGCAGTTCCCCTATGAGGAAAGACTGAAATCTATCTATCTATCTATCTATCTATCTATCTATCTATCTATCTATCTATCTAT